TTAGAAGCATTAAGAACAGAATAAAATAAACAACTTAAATCCATCAAACATAAGTAAAAGAGTGATAAATAAATTAGACTACGTATTGAGTTCAATCATAATCTTAGATAATTAAATTAGTTCCCCATCAAGTCTCACATCATCATCAAATAAAGTTTAATCAATAATATTAAACTAAGAAAAATAAAATAATAACAAAAAGATAAAACTCAAGAATTATAATATGGATCTTTAAATCTTCTTCTTGAATCCTTCAAATTCTTCTAAGCTTTCAATGATTTTGTGACTTGATTCTCAGCTGTCAATTTGGTGTTTCTTTCCTTTCTTAAAAGTCCAAGATTGTTGTTATAGGGATTTAAAGTTAGGTCAAGTTGGGTGCAGAAAGAAGTTAATTTCAAGTAGGATTTCCACATCAGACTATGTGAGCCGTGGCCTCGACCAATTAATTAGCAGAAATCGTAATTGCTCTAGAACTGCTGTAGAATATTAAATTTTGACAAGATTTTTGACTATCTTTCAAGTCAAACTGGACAAAGTAGTAAACATGAAAGTTGTAGCTTTTTCTCTTAGCTTTCCAATGGTCTAAGAATCATTTCATTTGAAAATCTGTAAAGAGAGTTATGGTCAAAATACCAAAATATATATAATAAAAGTCTACATTTTGAAATTGCTCTCTTTCTTCCATTAAAAGTCTTTCTTCATTAAACCTACAAAAGTACGAATAAATTAATAACAACCTATCTTAATCATATTAACATCAAACTAAATATAAAATTAACTAAAATTAGATTGACTTACCTAAATTAATTAATTTAAAATAATTTAAATAAAACATACTAATTTCATATATTACTACAAGAACTAAGTTAAATTAATAGCAAAATTAAGTCCAAATAACTGTATATCATAGAGTTATCTATACACAATCTTAAATGAATTCCCAATAATTTCACATACATTGATGGATTCTCCGCTGATACTTTAGAATTGGAAAAGCACCAAATTGGAAGGTATGTAAGTTAATGCATAGCTCGTAAGTAACTTGTAAGGGTAATTGCCCACTTGCATTGGCAGCCATTGAATCTTGACTAACACACATAAACATTGAATCGTGACTAACATACGATTCAAGAAGAAACTGGGAAGGTACATATAAATGAAACCATAGCCGGTAAAAGAAGTTGTAAGGGCTAACTGCCCACTTGCATTTACAACCACCAGCTGTTATAGCCATGTTTAGCAACCATCTATTGAAGGCTGACTCTCCGTTAGATAAATCATATCATCAATGGTCATTAGAATTAGAATCCTTACTTACCTTTATATACCATATTCTACCAGATTGTTGTCTTTATCCTAACCCTGATCTTAGATACCATAGTCTTCTATGGCAGTTGCATTGCTTAATGGCATAAAAGTGAACCAAATTATGGCAAATATTTACTATTCCAAGCATTTACACAGTCACTTGATTTCGTGATTTAGAGGCAAGACAGCACGGAATCCGCTTAATTTTAAGTTTGAGCAACAATTACCAAGATTTTAGGAGAAAAAGACAACATGTGAATTGGGCTAGAGCTGCAAGTACATCCATCAATAGTGATGATGATTTTTACACCAATGAAGTTGTGAAGGAATACTGCCAAAACCATGTGCATGTACAAAGTGAAACCTCGATTCATATGCTCTAAAGTACAGTGAGATTTCACCTTGCATTCATCAAAGAAATGCTGAAATCAACTCAATGATATTTGCATTTGTGTTTCAGAAGGTGCTAATGGGGATCAACTCCATTTCAAGAATCCCATATAAAGATGACCCAACAATTATGGCATGGGAACTGATAAATGAACCTCGCTGCCAAGCTGATTACTTTGGTAAAATCATAAACATAAGCTACCAGTCTATAAAACTTAAGGGATGTTATATATATATGTGCCTAGCTAGAACAGCTAAAATTATAGTTGCTAATATGAGAGGGATGGGTTCAAGAGATGGCAACATATCTAAAATCCATTGACAGCAAGCATTCGTTGGAAGCAGGCATGAAAGGTTTCTATGGAGACTCATTGCCAAATAGGAAACAATTCATGTTGAATAAGATTATAGGAAATAAGGAATATAAAATAAAATAAGTAAAAATAGTAAGTAGAAGTCTGAGGTGTGGTGTCACTGTCCTTAAAGATAATTTTCGCCTCTTTGGAGTATAAAACTCAATGCAAAAAGACTGTAGCGATTATCCTCTAGGATTCAACAGACTCTTCCTTAGTAGTTTGCACAAACTATTAACGGAAGATAGGAATAGCAGGAACAGAGAAAAGACCCAGCTATTGAAGAAAGGAGGTGAAGAAGATAAGTGAAGAAAGCTCAAAAAGTTAAAGGCTTTGGTGTGAGTTGAGAGTGAAGGTGTGAGATTGTATTTATAGGCATGGAGTGAAGTGAACGTTGCACCAAATAAGGTGAACGTTGAACCAGATTAGAGAGTAGAGAAAAAAACTCAAGGAGTTAGAGAAAAACCTGGTCAGCTTATTTAGTGAGTCAGATAAACGTTGGAGCAAAACCAAGTAAACTAGGTAGAGTTTTAGTATGATTTAATCAAGGTTGAAAATTTAAAAAAAAATTAATGCCAAGGTACAAAAATTCACTTGGGCACAGCTCACATGTATATTGGTGTGCAGGGGGGGCGAATCTAAAATTTCTCAGGTTGGCCCAACCTTGTGTGCACGCGAGCTCATTCTGTTTTCCTTGCTTGCAACAAGCCTATAGTGTGTTTTCATATATAAGGTATTCACCTTTCATGTATCTTGGTAATGTGGGATGTTTGCACCTTATGAAATACACTATTTTTCAACAATCCCTCACATATTTCATAAGATTTTGTAAGAAGTTTTGCTGGGTCAAATTTTATTTCAGTGTAATGCATCGTGACTGGTGTTTTTTAAGTTATGAATCACCCCTAGAAAGAATGAAACATAAGTCATAGAATTTTGGTGAAATTTGTAACTTATATGAACCAAAATTCTTTATGTGAAATATAGTTTTCATCAATCACATTACACCCCCACAATTTCTGCTGTTCAATGCGATTTTGCGTGAATAAACCATGCGGGTGCCTGGTTTTTCATAAATGCTATAGAGAATTTGCCATATTCTCATAGGAACGACCCCACTCCACATTTATATTGTTGATTCCATCAAAGTGTATACTGTAGTATAATACACTACCCATAAGGGATATGGAATGCATTAAGAGTTTAGCTCAACCTCTCTTGCATTGCAGTTTTGCACCGCTCACACACCATAGGAAGGACAATAATTTCAATAGTGTATTAATTTATCAACAAATAACTTGTTATACCCATATGAACCTAATTCATGGATCTCCAATCAATAGATTGGGTTACCATTATTTGTTGATTTTTCATTTGACTTAAGTCTCCATTCCCCTCATGTGCATTAATTAACCTTCTTCTCAGGGGTTTAGTCAAGATCGCCAAATTCAACTTTGACTTCACATAATTAATGGATATAATTCTATCTCTAAGCAGCTGTTTACTACATCATGTCTCAAATGGAAGTGCTATTTTTTCATTGAAAGTTTTATTCTTTGTAATGGTTATTGCCGCTTGACAATCACAATACAGATATAGAAGGGTTGGTTTCATTCCCAACAGAATATCTGCTAAGAGGTTTCTCAACCACTCAGCCTCATTGCCAGCCAACTCTAAAGCTACAAATTCTGACTCCATTTTAGATTTAGCAATTATTGTTTATTTGGCTGATTTCCAAGTTATAGCACCTCCACCAAGGGTGAATACATAACCACTCGTAGATTTTGTCTCATCTGAATTTGAGATCTAGTTAGTATCACTGTATCCTTCTAATACAGTGAAAAATCCATTATATAAAATACCATAGTTCATGGTACCTTTCAAATATTTCATCATCCTACTCAAGACAGTTCAATGATCTCTATTGGGACTTTGTATATATCTGCTCAGTCTACACATAGCATAAGCTATATTTGGTCGAGTACAATTTATCAAATGCATCAAACTCCCTATAATCTGTGCATACTCAGACTGAGCTACATTATCACCTTTATTTTTCTTTAATTGGATATTACTATCATAAGAAGTACTTACAGGTATGACATCAAAATGTCCAAACCTTTTAAGTAGCCTCTCAATATAATGCTCTTGTGCTAGCATTAACCACTACCACATTTTATGATTTTAATACCCAAAATAACTTTAGCTTCTCTCAAATCTTTCATATCAAATTTAGAAGCCAAAAAATATTTTGTTAGATTGACCACATCAATGCATGTACCAAAAATAAGCATATCATCAACATATAAGCTAATAATCACATATTCACTATCAACAGTTTTTGTGTACACACATTTATGAACTCCAACAGTAGAAAATTCATTACTAACAAGAACTTGATCAAATTTCTAATGCCATTGTTTTGGTGCTTGTTTCAAGCCATATAAAGATTTAATCAATTTACAAACTTTGTTTTCTTGACCAGGAAGAACACATCCCTCGAGTTGTGTTATATAAATTTCTTCTTCTAAATCACCATTTAAAAAAATAGTTTTTACATCCATTTGATAAACAATAAATTTTTAAATTAAAGCTAAGGCAAATAAAACACCAATTGATGCAAGTCTTGTTACTGGAGCAAAAGTCTCAAAATAGTCAATATTTTGTTTTTGAGTAAAACCTTTTGCAATAATCTAGCTTTGTACTGATCAATAGAACCATTAGGATTAAATTTTCTTTTAAAAATCCATTTGTAATCTATTGGTTTGGTTCCAGATGGTAAATCAACTAATTCCAAAATTTGATTTTGTAAAATCAAATCAATCTAATTTTGTATGGTTTTT